ACAGCGTGCCCTTTGTGTGTGTGTATGTTATACAGCAACAGACCTGCCACCAACCATGGATGCATCAATGCTGCACCATTTTTGCCAAGTAATTTTAGGGACTTCTGAAAGCAAAGGACAATTCTGTTTTTCATAATGATTTCATCATGGATTCATAATGAAACCATGACTGGCTGTAGTTGAAGATCTATCAGTAAGTAATCCTCTACAGTTCCATTTCTAGTCTGGAACAGTAACCTACAACTTTTCTAGAAAAATCTAATTATTATACTGTTAATGAGAACTTGGAAAATATGTGCTTTTGAAACCATATACACAAGCATGGAGAGCTAAAGGGAATAAACTCTCTGCTAAGATCATCTCTAACATGTTTCTTTCAGCCACAGAGACCTTTCATCTATTGTAGAAGCATAAGCATGAAAATCAGGGGGGTTGGAGATTCATGATCCTTGAGGTCCCTTCCAACCCTGGCAATTCTGTGATTCTGTGATCAGGTACTTCTTAATTTTTTAAAAAATATTATTTTACTTTTAAATCTCAATTGAGAATTGATGACACTTCTCCCCATAAGATAAGAAAGATGGTGCTGTTGATGAGCAAATAAGTACCCTAATTGCTGGTCCACAAATTGTCCTGGATATTCAGCACCTCCTGCTAAAGAACCCAGCTGTCCTAAGTGGATACCGTAGCTACTAGACAAATGGATACATCTCTTGACCCCTCTTCTCTTAGTTATTTGCAAACTATTTGTTTAAAAGTGGAAGATTTTTTTTTAAACAAGAGAGTTTGTTTCATTTCAGGATATTTTATGAACCACTTCAGAGATCTTGATTTAATTCATATTGCCAAACAAGGTAGAAAAGAGAGCTGATTTGTATCTCTGGCTTGTCAATTAGTTCATTTTGACAGAAGACTTTCTTTCTAGCTTCTTTTAGATACATTAGTTCAGTATGTTCTGAAACCACTTACTGGTGGGCCCCACAGAGATGCAGGAAACACCTGGTTTGCAACCTCTCAAGCACTTGATAGCCAAGGAGTTCAGTATTGCCAGGATCTGAATAGCTACAGAAGAATTGAGGTAGTTGGCAGCTGAGCAGAGTCTTTGAAGATTTAAATTTTGCTATTACAAAAAATGTCGACCTTTCCACATGATTCAGAAACTAGAAATGGATATAAATACCCTCAGATATATTTCAAGTAGATTACAGATGAGGTCATCCGCTTGCTTTCTGCTTTTCCCTATTTAACCTTCACCGACCAGTGACAAAAAAAAAAAAAAAAAAAAAAAAAGAAATTCAATTGTTTCTTCTAATTTAGCCCTTACTTTTAATAGTAAGGGCCAAGTCCTCTGGCTTGTACCACCTACACAGAAAAGATGCTCACTTTTCTATGTTACACGGGAAGCCTTCACCTCCATAACTAGTGAGTGGCAGAAAAGGAGAAAAATAATCATCATCTTCTGCTTAGTCTTTCCATAAATACAGGAGAAAATGTTATATTTAATATTATTTTTATACAGCACAAAACACTTCAATTGCTTCCAGTATCTGTCAGTCTTCCTTTCTTTATTCTTATAAGAATATTTATCTCATTATTTTGCTTGTATGTATCTTAGACATCCAGACAGTCATGAGCACAAATAGCTTTTACATTGGTATCCAAAATCTGGATTAGTTAGTAATTTCTGAATATTGCTTGTTTGGAGCCAAGCTGGTTTCAAGAGAAAATAAGACCCTCTAGGCCTCTGCATACATTATAACCACCACAGTGATTTTGTGTTGAGGAACATGTCTTTCTCAGACACTGGCTGCTTTAGAATGTTGTATATAGCTGTGTTCAATGCCAGCCAGTTGTTGATATGAAAGTTATAATGGGAGAATGCTCTTCATGATCTCATAGACTGCTTTGATTGCACGCTGTAGGTCAAATCTTTGAATATTTTGCACTTAAATGTTGATGCCTCACTACTTATCACAGAAATCAACTTTATGTGATAAGGGGATTTATAAAATATAGGTTCACCACTAAAGCAATGCAGCAATGCACCAGTACTTGCTTGAGAGTAAGACTAAGTACTATCTTTTTCCTGGAGACCCGGCTCAGATTCCATGGTAAGCAGTCAAAGTGAATAGTGTTCACAGGAACAACAGAAATAGCAGGGAAAAAGTGATCAGTGCTGGAAATTATTAAATGTTCAGATAAAGTGGTTTATACAACAGGTAGAACTTAATAATTAAAAGTCAACTCCAACTTGTATCCTGGATGAATAGAGCTGTTTTGATTTAGCATCATGTAAACAGCATTACCTTACATAGAAGGACCACCTAAGTAGGAAGAGAATCTGTCCATTTAATCGACCAGCAGAATAAAAATATTAAAAAACTGGAATCAGGCTTTTATTGTAGATGGTAATTTAATCTAATAAGCCAGCTGACAGACCTTCCAGAGATGAAGTGGAAGATGAAGAAAATATCAATGAATGAAGTTCGTTAATCTTAGTTTAAATGTGTGAGCAGGAAATGCAGTTCCTCACTAGGAAAAGCATTTCATCTCCATAAGAGCTACTTGGGAAAGCCTTTATCCTACAGAGCCTCGGATAAGGTAATGACTTCCACCAACAAACCACCTCAGCTTACGATGCAGTGAAATATTGATGGTTCTGATCGACCAGTATCTTACATGTTGAATCAGAAATAGAATTCCATAACGAAAAGAAAGTGGCTAAGTACAGAAATTATCTTCCTCATTCAAAGAGAACTGGACAGCGAGGTTTTACATTTCTGGGAACAGGCTGACCATGTGTCTTGAAGATCTCTCTTTAACAAATAAAACAGACTATAAAAAGGATGGCTTGTGTGGTTCACATTATTGATTATTTCCAGATGTTACTTAATAGATTTGCAGCCTTGTTAAATAACTTTCCTATTTTAGCTTGGGGTTTTTCTTGTGTTGTGCAAGAAGAGTAAACAAGATGACTTCTGTGCAGAGTTATCCAATAAGACATGTGTCTTAATACCTTATAAGATAATAGCATATTTGTAACCACTTAATGTCTTGTCCATTAAGTCACCAAACAAAATTTTAAGTCTGGTAACTGCAGAGGGAATGAAACATCTGCTTTAGAATTGTAACTGATTTTAAAAGATTATCACACAAAGTCAACATACCATACCTTAAAGAGTAACATCAGTAATTAGAAATCAAGTGAATTGTTTTCATAACTTAAAAATCAGTACTTACTAAATAAACAATGAATAGGTTACCAACTAAGCTCAAAACAGAAAACGCTTACCTTATTTTCTGCAACATCAACGTAGAGATCTAACCCTGCCAGAACTGTAAATTTACTGTTCACTAAGCAACGAATATAGAAGCCTTTCAACTGCTAATTGTGGCTTACTTTTTACAATGTTTATTAATAAACTCATTTTCATGCAAGTTTAAAAGGAAAATACTAATTCCATGGGCAAATACACACTTGTTCACTAGTCTAAATTATGTACATTGTATTTGCATCTAATATTCAGAAGTGCAAAGTCCACAGTGACATAAATAACAATAGGTTCATAAACTATTAGATGACAAGTTTCCAAAAACATTAGTAACTGCATCATAATATATCTTTTCGTATACGTCTGAAATCAAACATTTTGCAGTAAAAGAACATACATTTCTGCTACATTCAAGTGATTATTTTATTACCATATATTATGCCTTACAAACTTTATTGAAGATCAGCAACAGCGCTACAAAACCATACCTTAATGCAAAAGATGTACTGCATGGTATGTGCAGGCATAGCAAATGAAAGATAAGACCTGGCAAGAAAAACGAGCTAGGAAAACTTGTACAAAAATGGATAGTAATACTGTCTAACACTGAGTTATATCTTACTTATAACAGACCTGAAGGACTAAGAGATCCAATTTAGAAACATCTGTGCACTGTAGGTACAGTTTGGTGCAGATCAAGAGTGCACTAATGCAGACAATGTTGTACACATAAGATAATGCACAAAATAAGCTGATATTCATATAAACAACTAATTTGCTTACAGTAAGTAGGGCAGCACAATTGAAGTGCTGCATCCTTGGCACTTAGTGATAGGACAACATGTATTTGGTTAAACTAATGTAATAAAGAGCATTTACACTGGTAAGATGTAAAACATATTATCCCTTTAAACCTTCTTGTTTTACAGCATTTTCTTCTAATTTTCAAGTTCAAATTAAAACATGATACACTAACTAGATATGGAAGACATTTTAGATATTGGTTTAAAGCAAGATCTTACATTAAAAATGTCAGGGCGACCAAGTAATTCAAATGATATTGATCAAATTTGTTACTGATATCTTGTGCTGACAGTGAAGCCTGAAACACTGTTGTTTGTTTTTAAAAAGCAACCTTGTATTAGAACTCGCAATCTCCTTATGGTCTTTTCCTGAATAATAATTTATTCTTTAATGTCCCTTTCATATATAGTAATTTAACTTAAAAGAACTGAAGTCAGTCATCTGAGAAGCTGTAACTAACTTAAGTTTGGCCTAGGATATAATATCCCAGAATGAAAGATATGCTCTCCCAGAAAGAAAGCATGTTTCATCTAAGAAAGCATTCCAATTCAAAGTGATTGTCTTTGTATTAAACAATGTTAACACCCATCTGGAGGGAGCCTATTTACTTTTGCCTGCTTTAAACTGGCTACATTGCCACTTTATATTATATATAACAAATGTAATAAAATATTAAGATGTAATGATGTAACATTTAAAATTAACTGGTTTAAGATATTTTACAAAGACATTTTATTATATATGAACTACACAACACGCAAGAGTATGAAATATTTTGAACATATACACATTTTTGTATTTTCATGTAGACTATTATTTTCCACCAAACATTGGCGTCTACAATTCGAAAAATCCTCTCAGGAAAAAAAGAAAACAAAAACCAGAATGATGTTTTGTCGGTGTTTTTTGCTGTTGCTGTTACTGTTTTTTTTTTTTTTTTAACCTCTTGAAAATCAAACCAATTAAAAGCGGAATTTCTCTAATGAGTTTTTGTTTCCTTTCCCATTTTCATATTTTGCACAAAGCTCTTGAAGTGGGTCCAACATACATTAAAGGAACAGCCTCTCGGCCCGTTGCAGTGCAAGTTGCTAGGAATAAAATTTTAACCCAAACTGAACCCTTCCCCACTATGAACATTGAAACCTGCGGTCAAAGTGTCAATACCACTCGTTATTGAGACTCCTTTCCCCCTTATTTAAAATGCAAATCTTTTCAATATCCATTTTAATGAAAGTATTTGCATAGAGCAGCCTTGCATTATTTCTAAAGAACATTATGAGTGTTTTAACACAAGATAAGGCACATGTTTTTCAACATTAATAATCTAAAACTAATCCTGAGGAACTGCTCTTCCCCCTCAGCAAAATCTGCTTTTTTAACATACCCTGTATTACCTGAAGAAAGCAGAAAAGCAGTACAGAATAAACCAAAACTCTTTTGATGAACTAAATTCAGAACAGTAATAGCTCCTGATCATAGTGTAACAAATTCACAGATAAAGAATTAAGTCATACTCTAAATAAATTGTCTTTGGGGTGAGAAAAGGATACAGCCAGTAGCACTGTAGATGTTAGATAAACGTTCACAGAATATGGATGACATTTATAGTGAGTTTTGCTAAGACAAGCTTCTGTCAGAAACAAGTAGCTAAACTGTGAGGCACTTAAGGTTGACAAGAAAAGGAGGAATGCAAGGGATCTGTTTCATAGAAAACCTGAAGTTGCATATCATATCCTTGTATTAAGCCTTCTATTAAAGTGCTAGAAATGGAGACTTAAAACAAAAGGATTTACATATAAAATAAGTGATTAAAGAGCTTAGTATGCATTAAATGAAGTGCTTTTGATTCTCATGAATTCAGAGCTTTTTAATTTTTAATTTTTTTTTTTTTCATGAAGTCCGGAAATAATCCAAGTGTGAAATTATCTTTCTTGTGCCAATGATGCTATTTGTAAAGTGCCCAATTATTTTTCTAAATAACAAAACCATTTGCCTTATCTTATGTTGTATAGCATGACATAGTCTTTAGTACATATGTAATCCATATCACAATGACACAGTCAGTCTGATGGAAAACAGCACGTGCATACTTTTAAGTCAAGAGTTTTAATTCCACCTGCCACCCTAAAAAGTTAGGGTCTTGGATTACATATCCACCAGTACATAGTGCAATCAACCTTTTCAAAATCTAATTTAGCTGTTGAAGTCCAATGTTGAAAGACAGACTTATCAAGCTTTTCCTCAGAGCAGCCTGATACCCAGACAAAATCACAGATGGAGCTCTAGATCTGAATTACATAAATCCACTAGATGCCAAATCTGGGAAGGATCTGGGCTCTGCTGGATGATGAACAGGTTGAAGATGTGTGGCAGTCTGTGAATTACTTATCACATCTAACTGAGAGGGATATGCTTCATTTACATTTCCTCCATTGAAACCATTTTGGAACTGGTGGGGAAAAAAAAAAGAAGATAATATAAATGGTTAGTATGGAAAACTGATGCATTTTATCTTTTAGAATCTGCCTGAATGAACAGATTGGATAAGCCCATCTTAAAATACAATCAATAGCTTTAAAATTGTGTGTTAAACTAGGAGCTTAATCACCAGTTAAGCCTACCCTTGCTGAAGTTAGTGAGAGTCTTGCTTCAGGTGAAGGAAAGAAACATCATCGTTTTCTAAAGCATAATATAGTTTCCATTTGTAGAAAGCAAAGTCTGAGTATGTCTAAATTCCAAATCCAGCTGTTACATTTAAAAGCAACCTATTTACATAGATTCATGTCGGCAGTGGAATATAGATTTACAGCTCTTACAGGAATGCATATTCAGTCCTATTTGCTCACTGAAATGTACTGCATTCAATCCACAGGCTAAGCTATCATAGGGTGGGCTTTCTAACAAATGGTCTTCATATTGACACCAAATAATAGCAATGAATGGGTTTCATCAGTCTTGACATAATTGTTCATAGGATTATTTTAACCATATGATGCAATGCTTCCTGTCATGCTATGAAAAAATATTTTTTTTTCTACAAAATACTCCATTCGTTCATGCAAAGAAAATAAAAATATTTCAAACATTTCCATTATCCCTTTGGGAGCAGCTTACATTGGAAGTATTTATTCATTCACTCAAGGTTTGTCATTAAAATGTACGTTATACATTCACTCATTCATCTATCAAAACATGCTGGTTTTGTGGAAACTTCTTTTGTTCCTGCTGGGCAAACATGGAAATTTGATAAAACATGCACTTGTTCTTCTAAATTCTTAATGTCCAGACTACAGCTGTGTGAATTATGCTTTAAATCAAATATGCCGTGCTCATAAAGATAGAATAACATAAGCTAGAATAACTTCTGGAAGCAGACTTCAATGCTAATATGAGAAGTGCATTTATTAAAATAAAATTTCTAACAGAGTTCTCAGCACAGAACCAAGTAGTCACCATGTTTTCTCCTGTTTAGTAAAGGAACAGTGACCTTAAATATGCCATCAGTTTATCCAAGGCCTTTCTGCCCACTGAAACATTTTTGGTGATGGAGACTACACTGGCTATTTTCCTAATGTAAATGCATGAGTTCAAAGAGTTACTGTTGGTACCACAGGTTAATCACAAGTTAGGCAGAAGATGAAGGCAGATAATCACAACAGACTCTTTCTAATCCCACTGTTTTTTTTTTGTATAGAAACCAGGAGACTGAGGAAAGGACAGCAATCTGCACTGGCGGAGCTGTAGTCCACCCACTGTCCAACCTCCAGGTGACATGAGGAGGGCAGACTCAGTCCCCCACTCTGCCCAGCCCTGCTTTTGCTGCACCGCTGTAGCTCAGGAAGCGACACCTGCTATCCAGTTACTCACAGCCTTACTGCAATTACCAGTAGCCAGTAAAGTCAAACCTAATTTACTTATTATCATATGTAGTGATACATTCTTCCTACTTACAATAAATACAAGTGCTTTATTTGCAATCATGGCTTTGGTGCAGATGATGCTTCACAACACTACAACTTCAAGTGCAGCACCTATACTTCTAACTTACTACTTCCTATGAATGTGCTTATTTTAAAGTTCTACTATCTCCTCTGATAACTCTGCAGTACAAACATATGTAAATACTGGGTTGCTTTTCCTGCACCAAGGACAATTCTAGGTAAAATGAAAAGAAATTTTCTTTGTATTTAAACATTTTTCAACAACTTGCATAGTCTTATTTTGCACTCAGACCATAAAAATGCTAATTGGCAGATGAGAATAAAGGTCAAAACTAAGTACAGACTGAAGCAAAAGGATACAAAAGGTTGTAGGTTTTTGTTTTGTTTTGTTTTTCTTTTGTTGTTTTGGGGGGTTTGGATTTTTCTGATGGTTTTTCATTTTTT